GGTTCCAGTTGGTGCCAACTAGCTTTCGGCACCCGTGGGCGGCCCGTCCGTCCGCGCTGGGGCGGGGGCGGGGGTTCGCCGCACGCCGCAGGCACATCTATCGCAGCCGGACGAGATTAATTAATCGGCGCCGGGTGCGTGCCCTTCAAGGTCGGCCACTTGACCGACGAGCCGGCGATGACGGCGGGTCGTTTGTGATGGGCCGACACTGATGATGACAGCCGCCACAGGAATGTCGGTGCGCAGCGCACAGACGAACGGACAGAGGACAGAGAAACTGACCGACGGACAGACTTGTGGACCGACGGGTGGACGGGAGGAAAGACAAGCGAGCTGGAGCAGGAACGAATGCAAAGCACGCGGCCCGTATCCTGGACATTTGTCAGAGTTTGACAGAACCGGCGCCAGGCCGGTGGGCGCCGTGCGTCACCTCGTGACCCCACTGACCTCGGGCGACTCAGTAAAGAGTCACAGTGACGTCACGATAGCTTGGCATTATGGCTGCCCTCAGGACATGGCAGGGCGAAATTAGTTGGCGATGCGCATACCGAGGATATGAAGTCACACGCAAGGTCACAGCAATGCTGAGTTATACTTGACCATTAGTGCCTACGCCGCTCGGGTTTTGATTAACGAGGCGTTGCGGTCTAATATCTTACGCTGGTCACTGTGTGTGATGTTTGCTCCTCCCCGGGGCGGGGGCGGAGCTGGTCGCTCGGCCAGTGATCAATGGTGTCTGGCGCGACACCAGCCGCCTCCGAGCGCCTGTTTACAGTCGCCTCCGACAGGCGACAGGCGCCCGCCGCCGGCCGGCCGGTCACCGTCCCCGCGTTATCGCCGTCTGCACGGCCGTCCGAGTGTCGCGCCGGACCTCGCGGCAGGACCAGCGCCGTCCGCGCGTCGTCACGAGCAGTCATTCACGCACCCGCCCCAGGCTATGTCCTCAGGCGTCTGCCAATCCGGCAATCACTCCTCCCTCCTCAAACCGTCACTCCGTGTCATCTTCCACCACCCCTCGCCGATTGGTTTCGCGTTTTTCGCGATAAATTTAGCACTTACGTGGGCCTGGTTGGACCTCACGGCTCACACAGTTCGATAATCAGAGCCATCGGCGGATAATCAGCAGCTTAATACACCATCAGGTAGCGCTATATTCAGCCGCCAGAGCGGCGTAAGGAGGCGCCATCGCCATAACCTGAGCCGTTGCTGAGCACTCAGCGCCTGAACGAGCTCAGTGCTCGCATCCGGCAGGCATCGGCACGGCCAACCGGCCCGGCCGCGTATTCGCCAATAGTATTACACGAATCGGCCCGACCAATAGCGTGCCTCTTGAGTGACGTCAGCGTGGCGTCATACGTTCGGTCCTCGCCCTTGGTGGAGTCTATTGAAGCTAAGTTTTAACTTAACGACATTTAAACTTCACCGTACTTGTTGCCGGCGTGGCGCAGTGGTTAGAGTATCGGAATGGTGATATGGAGGTAGGTGGTTCGAATCCACTCGGCGACATCGATTTTCGTGTTATCTGTCATTGTGCGTTTTTTTTTATACATTTGCAACGGCGTGCACCTAAGAAATCAGAGGTAAGCATTCTTCAAATGAATATGTTGCATACCTAAGAGAAATATTTGCAGTCCAACCGATTGGTTCGGTTTCGGTATTTTCCAATGGTTTTTGTTTGAATTTGGTTTGGTATCGGTGTTCTGATTTTCTGTGATTGACAATTGACATCACTAATGCATAGTGCATACTATGCGAACGTAGCCAATGGAAAGACAAATGGTGCTGGGCGATGACCATTGATCAATATTTCTCACTGCCAATGGGTGATAGCACCGAGCACGCAGCTCCTGCTGGATATGACGGGGGTGGCGCTGACCTTTTGAAAGTAGGTGGCACTTGGCAAGGTAAAGTACCTAAAAGTAGCGAAAACTAAGCTAAAAATCGCACGCTGGTTAGCATGCAATTAGATAGTTTTCATGTAAGAATCACCATGCACAAAAAAGTTGGGCATAGCTGTTAGCGTAATCAGGGGACGAGATTATCAGTTGTTTCCAGCCGTCAAAGGCGTCATCTATAGGAGCTATGCCTTAACTATAACTTCATTTCTGCCACCAGGGGATCGACAGTATCGACAGTACCGTAACACAATTGGTATTTCAGGTACAGACTGCAACTGCAGTTCTTTGGCAACTTATTCCTTAATCAGATGAATACTTGTCATAGATTTATTGGGCGTACGATATTGGCGTGCGAACTTAGGGCCTAGGGGCCAAAAATGCGTGTCTAAAACCAACTTCTTAGAAAAGAACCGCTAAAGCAGGGATCGATCCATAGACCTTTCGCTCATCACACCGAGACTCTAACCACTCGGCTACGACGACACAGTTAATTGAATTGCCATATACAATTAAAAGAAGTCTCAACTCAAATCTGGCCTCAATGCATGATTGTCACGTCGGATGGCTATGACGTCGCACTAGAGATGTCGCTAGTTGGTGGGCCGATTCGTGTAATACTATTGGCGAATACGCGGCCCGGCCTGCTCTGATGAACCTGCACCGGGCGCCGGCCGGGCGAGGGGCCCGAGCGTGGGTGCACGCCCGCCGCGGCTCGTGCCAGCCACGTGCCACGTAAGGCTGCTCCGAAACGAGCCATCAGCGCGGCGCGGCAGGGGTGCACGCCGCACCGGCGCGGCGCCGGCGACTTTAGAACTGGATGGATAGATAGATGGGCAGACGCGGAAAGGGGAGAGTGTGAGAGGGCAGAGTACAGAGAGAGGATAGGAGAGGGAAATGGCCTAGTCAGCTAGTCCAGCCCGCTCCGTTTGCGCTCATATTCCTCCAGGCCTGTCTCCTGCCATCCTCAGTTGCTTCGACAGCCTAACGTCACACACAGCAGCAGCAGCAGCCCCGGGCTACAGCACAAGGGCAAAGACCGGACGTTCCAAAACAGAGTCCGCACTTGACACAGCGCTCTGCCCCGTCACAATCAGGCGACCATTTGGTGCCAGTGACTCGTCGTTCCACTCGTCGGTCGTCGCTCTACAGCAGCCTACGTCATAGCAGGCTGAAGGGGCGGGATGGTGACCGTGACACCATCCGGTTCGACACAGGGTCGAGAGGAACAGGGCGGGGCGGCATCCGTCTGCAGTGCGGCTGGGGCGGTCCCACTCGGCCGCGACTGACGGGGACAATATAGCCGACAGGGCTGGCGAAGTGACGGCCGTGGGGGCGGTGCCGAACCTCTCAAGAGCCGCTGCCGTTCCTGTCACGAGCCTCAGCTCCGCTCCGTCTCCGCGCCCTGTTCTGCTCCTCCGCTCTGTCTCCGCCCTCTGTTCTCTCTCCCGTGGGCAGAGCAGTGAGGACAGAGCGGGGCAGAGCCGTCGCTCACGGTCACACCTCGGCTGCCGCCTGCAGTGGCGCTCCTGACGTAGGGCGGACGCCGGCGGCCCAGCGGTACTGAGTTGTGAGGACAGCTCGACGGGGCGCCGCCACGGCCCCACAAGGACAGAGAGTCTGCGGCTCTGGCATTGGTTGCGAGAGTAACGCAAGACCGCCTGCGGATCGGCAAGAGGCCGCGATGGGGAGCGGAGCGATCAGCAGGTCAGCGAGGTCAGCGGGGTCAACAGAGGTCTGCCAGGGTCGGCCGCGGGGGACGCCCGCCGGCCTCTCCGCAGTAGATGCACATAACGCTGCACACGAGCGCGTCTGCCGACCGCCGCGGTCAGAGGTCAAGTGGCGCCGTCCGTCGGGTCAGAGGTCGTCACGACGCGACTCTGTTACACACCTCACACCGCGGACGGAGGCGCGTGCCGGCTGGTCCATAACTGATGCTCGCAGACGGCCGCAATTAGCGATAATTGGTGATCGGCGCGCGGTCGGGCCGGCCCGGCGCTCTATTAGGCCGGGGTGCGGCGTGTTTTTGTCAGCGGCGGAAGTTCGTTAGCGGATGCTTCCGTGACGTGTTTTACACCAGCAGGTACAGGGACCGGGTACATGGAAACTGGCACCTCTGACATGGAGGGCAGCGGGCTCCCGTCCCAGAGGACCGCAAATGAGCCTCGAGCATTGGAGCCAGGGGAAAAACAAGTGACAGACACGGGAAACAGCGCCAGGAAAAGGCTTCATTCATTCATAAAGTTATATAAACGCATAAACGAGCCTCACCCTGAGGCCATGTAAACAGCATTTCTCCCCGACTCCGACTCTTTAAAAAAGTAAATCAAATATTTTCGTACGTCACAACTCCAGACTCCAGAAACCGTTCAACGATCCGAGACATGAATGACGTCAGAGGCTGTCATCGAGTTCCATCAGCGAGAGCCGCGCAGCCACTCGGGCCACTCAGTTGAGTCCACAAACCGGCGTCGGTACCCCGGGGGGCAGTGAGGTCACTCACCTGGCTGGAGCCGCGCCCAGCGGTAATGGCAGCCGGCAGCCAGCCCACAGCCGAGGGTCGCGAGGGCTTCATCACGCAAGGTAACGATAACAGGATCAAGAAAAAGACGAGTGTATGAATGACAAATGGATGAAGAGACATAGAACCTCCGCAAACCCGTCCCACAGGCGCCATCCTTTTCCACAAGTGGTTCTCCTAATGGCTGTAGCTATCGTGATGGAGTGCTACCCGGCGCTTATCCTCCACGGTTATTAGCGTAATCGCAGTAACGTACCGATAATTGTGTTGTTAGGCCGCTATGGAGTATCCTGAGTGGTTCTCATAAATCAACAGCTCATACTAATAAGCCGATAGCTGTTAGGTCGGGATGTTGGCCCAACGAACAGACCAACGTTTCAACAGCTGATGGAATGCGCAAACAAAACGCATTTTACGCAGCTTTTGCCCCTAAGTCAGACCGCGATATAACGAGCAGGCTGTAGCATTAATCCACTTTACTTCAATCACTCCTCATCAAAGCAAGGCCACTACAATATTATCCACAGGTGACCCAGCGCCGCCCGACGCTGCCCCGACGGCCGCCCCCGGCCCAGCCGACTAACCTGGTGTGCGCAGTGAGCTCGCGCAGCTCCAGCTGACACCGCAGCTGCTGCAGCTCCAAATGCAGCATGTCACGCTCGCCGGTGACCGTCTCCAGCTGTCCACACAGCTCGGCGATACGCCGGCTCTGCAGCGCTATCACCGCGTCCCGGTTGTCCATGGTGGAGGACCGTCCGCCCCGGCGGCGAGCCTGGGAATAGAGGTCACCGGTCAGGTCAGGTCAGGTCAAGTCATGTCAGGTGGGGTCAACAATTCAGTTGTCCATAGGTTGGAGCAAACCGACCGGGTGACAGGTCTAGAAAAAGAGGTCAATAGTCACTGGTCAGGTAAGGTCAGGTGAGAACACGCCAGATTCGGTTAATTCGTTAATTCAGCGATGCCAGCTGTGGTTGCTGCGTACGCCCGTTGTTGGTATATGGAGTTGGAGGGTCATACTTGTGGCCGGGCCTGTGGCAGGCGACACGGTAGACCGTCAGTAGCGGGGAAAACCTTTTATTCCGATGACAAACTACCGCTCATCCGAGAAGAAGGGTACCGGCCTGATCGTACCGCATCCAGGGGCGGATCCAGGAAAACTCCAAGGGGAGGGTCATGAATCGAAGTGGTGCCCCTACCTATACCCAAAATTAAAAACTCAGCGGATTTCGTCCACTTCATTTTGGTGGTGCTCCCATTTTCAGTTTTTTATTTTTATTTTTTATTTTTAGTCAGTATCTTAACTCTTAGCCACAACCACATTTACCAATTGTAAGCAAGTATACCTATATGAATGCGCTATGTGTATATGTATATGTTGTGGACGCTGAGTAGTGACTACTTACCAGGAACGTTATCAGGTAAGCAAATCGTTGTCAGTCCGACGAACTTGACACTGGCGTCTAAAGGGTCTGTCCTTGACACTTCAGGCTTGTCAGGGGCACCAAAGTCCTTCCAGGGACACCACAAACCTGTCAGGGGCACCTATGGCCTTGTAGGGGCGCCACAGGCCCGCCAGGAAGCAGGGGCACCACAGGCCTAGCAAGGACACTACAGGCCTGTCAGGGGCACAACGGGCCTGTTGGGCCCATGAGCACCCCTAGGGGCAGGGGCACCACAGTCCTTCCAGGGGCACCGCAGGCCTGTGAGGGGCACCAGCGGCCTAGCAGGGGCACCACTGGTCTATCAGGGGCACCACGAGCCTGTCATAGCCAGGCATCTCAGGCTTGTCAAGGCCCAGGGGCACCACAGGTCTGTGAGGGGCACCAGCGACCTAGCAGGGGCATCAGTCAACACAGGTCTGCCAGGGGCGCCACAGACCTGCCAGGGGCACCACAGACCTGCCAGGGGCACCAGAGGGCTGCCAGGGGCACCACCGGCCTTGCAGGGGCACCTTGGGCCTGTCAGGGGCACCACGGGCCTGCCGAGGGGCACTTCAGACTTTTCAGGGGCACCAGTCCTCTCCGGGCGCAGGGGCACCAGAGGCCTGCCAGGGGCACCAGCGGCCTAGCAAGGGCACCAGAGGCCTGCCAGGGGCACCACAGGCCTAACAAGGGCACCACGGGCCTGTCAGGGGCACCTCAGGCTTGTCAGGGCCCAGGGACACCACAGTCCTTCCAAGGGCACCGCAAGCCTGTCAGGGGCACCAGAGGCCTGCCAGGGGCACCATAGGCCTAGCAAGGGCACCACTGGCCTGTCAGGGGCACCTCAGGCTTGTCAGGGCCCAGGGGCACCACAGTCCTTCCAGGGGCATTACAAGCCTGTCAGGGGCACCAGAGGCCTAGCAAGGGCACCACAGGCCTGCCATGGACACCACAGGCCTGCCAGGGGCACCACCGGCCTTGCAGGGGCGCCTCAGGCCTGTCAGGGGCACCACGTGCCTGCCGGGGACACTTCAGGCTTGTCAGGGGCGTTACAGTCCTGTCAGGGCCCAGGGGCACCAGGCCCGTGGTGTCCCTGCTAGGCCTGTGGTGCCCCTGGCGGTCCTGTGGTGCCCCTGTCAGGACTGTGATACCCCTGATAGGCCGGTGGTGCCCCTGGCAGGTCTTTGGGCCCCCGGGCCTCAAGGGGGGGGCCATGACCCATGTGACCCCCCCCTTGGATCCGCCCCTGACCGCATCTGACTTTAACCAAGTTCGAACATCGAGTGGCTACCTATGTCACGAAATGAGACTTTGCTGGATAAGGATTAGACTCGCAAATTGAAATCTTTGCTTGGCTTCCGAACTGAGCAGAAGATTCAGTTCGAATCATCCAGCCGATCAGTCAGACACGAGAATTCCATTTGCCGTCTCCAGCTACTCGGAACTACGAACTGGGTCTCTCACCCGGAAGTGTCACTGATCGCTCGGCTGCCCGTTCGATCAAACCAGCCCCCCCCCCCCTCCCACCTCTGAAGTCCCGGCAGTGCTGTTCAACTGGCTGACCCGGTGGGTCGAATCCCCCTCCCCAACCCTCAAGCCGGAATCCCACGCCGACCTCAGCCCCCCCCCCCCCCCCCGGCTGGAACGGGCAGTCTTGTCGGCTGGTATCGACTCGTGTCGTGTCGGCGAACATCAAAGGTCGAACCGCCCGTCTGGGGCTCCCAGAAGTGTCCCGACATGGCAAGGACGGCACACCCCTCCCTTCAGCTCAGTCAACCGTCTCCACCAAAATCCAAACATTGCACAAATATTCATACACCACCCTTACAGCGTCAGGAACTTGGTTTCCGTTCGGTACAGTGAAATCCGTTGGGGAAAAAACGTTCGTCTCCGTGTCATTTTTCACTCAGAACTGTTGCTAGCACTGACCAATGACCATTGCAAAGCGGGAGTTTCTGACTGGAATACAGTTCGTGCCTGGCTGTCTACGGCTACGCTGTTGACAGTTGACCGAAACGCTGAGGTTTACATGGTGATCAATGTGCCCATATTTACAGGGCAGCGCACAGTCACTAGTTGGGCACGCCCGACCGATCCGGCAGTGTTCAGCGGGATTGTTTGAGCGTGACGACCCGGTGTCAATCATATAACTGTCCAAACGGCAGCGAATATGGAGTGGTGGAAAACAACGTGTGCAAGTACAATGTGCTAAATAGCACCGGACAGAGTTCGCTGAAAACGCTGTGAATGGCGTGACAAGGGACAATCAACTTCACCTCTTCGTATGTTTCGGTAGCGAGTACTGTAAGCTAAGTGGATGGGCTGTGAACATTGAACGCACACAGTGGCAAAATAGTCAAAGTCCTGGAACATTCGGAATAATGAAGCCAAAGGTCGGGTAATGGAAGCTATATTAGCGTCCGTTATAGCTTTAGGATACATTGTCATATAAACGGATTCTATACTGCGCACTTGGTTTCGGAATTTACTGCAGGTTTGCACTGATGCCCGACGTCGTTTGCTCACTTCGAACTGGTATTAGCAAACAGCAGGCAATTTGAACCGCAATTTAACCGGTGTAAGCAATAGCCCTGTGACAGAGATAAATACAACGGAACAGCCGGCGGTAACCGTGTCCCAGACAAACATTCCACGAACCGACAAAATTACCACAGAAAATGTCACTGGAAATTTGTCGAAGACGCAGAAACAATTCGGGCAAAGGTCAAGAGAGGACGGAACTATTGATAAGAAGCAGAAATGCAGAAGCCTCATAATTTGAAAAAGAAATAAGAAAGAGGCGACCCAATAAGACGGAAAAATGCATTTCCTGCTGTAAAAGATCGAGTTTGGATATACCTATGTAGAGCAAACCAAGTGACCACTGAGTCGTTCAATCATCGACCACCAAAGCGTTTATGAGGTGCGCCACAGGCACAGACTGCAGAGATAAACTGAAACCATGCATTGGCCGCCGCCACTGTATGAGCCTGTTTTTTTTTTTTTAGGGCCTTACCGTATAAGATTTTTAATTTATGTAGTGCAAGCCCTTCCCATTGACTGCGTCACCATTTCATCGACTGTTAGATCAAAAGCGATCACCACGGCGATTGGTAATAAAAAAAGAATTAATGAAATACAATAACAAATGGATCCACGTCCGGTGTTATTGTAGGTATGAATGCCCAAGTTGATAAGAAACATTCCTAGGCCAGCCACCAACATTGACTTGATAAAACTTTGTTATTGGACACTGCTAGACATTGAACAGTTCTGACAGGTAGGTATGCATTCATTTAGGATAGAACGCTTTCCGTGATATAGCGCTTGATGACACGATGGACATTTTTCTCTCGTACAAACTACGTAGCAGATGGTAATTCCGGACCAGCCTTACACCATACAGCTACCACCGGCCAACCGTATCGCACTTGCACCAAACAGCAAACACCACACATCCGATAACTTACCTCGCGGTCCAATCGGTCGCCCAAAAACTTCTCAATCGTAGAGTGATTCACTCGAACTGATACCCAAAGTCCACTTCTACACAATCTCGTTTCAGTAGAAGACCATTCACTGCATTCCTCTCCGGTCTCAAGGAATCAACCCGCCAACTTCCTTTTCAGTTCCACAGTTCACTGATCTCCCTTCTCCGCTCTGGGAGTGGGCCGGTAACCAGTGTCAACTCAGTATCTGAGCACTGCACTGTGTCAAACAATCACCGTCCACTGTTCATCGTCCGCAATTCACACTCTAAACCATCGCTACAACAGTCCAGCTACCCTCGCGACGTCTCACCAGCGCCAGTACGCTCCTCCTCCTACGGCGCTCGGCGCACAACTGACGCTCGGCCGGCACCCAGCCGCCCGGCGCGGCGCCCCGCCACTCGCGGGGCGCCACCCAGGCCAGCCGACGGAGACCGACGGGACCCGGCGGCGACTGTGGGGCGGCTGGCGGACTTATCGTGGAACTTCTCTCGTGGGGCGGTGGACGGCCGCGTGGAGTGGTGGAGTGTTGCAGAGCCATCCTCCGGCGCTGACCGGGCGGGGTGGTCGGAAACGGATGATGGTAAACGGATATGGCCACTGTTCGGCTCTGTTCACGCCAACAGAGACGGAGCGCAGCTCTCAGTTGAGTGCCAAGACAGCCGCTTATCTGACGGGATTCGAGTTACTCGAGTGAAATATCACTTTTGGAGCCTAGCCTAGGATTTAGGAAGAAGCGTTGAAAAGTTTAATTTTATTTCTTCTCAATATTAAGACATTTTAAATGGAGCCAATTCAGTCCAACTGAAATGGAGGCTGCTTAGAATCGGACTGGGATTGGTCCTAATTTCAAGTAGATCCCTCGAGCCGGGCCGGTCACCGGGCGGCCCGGAGCGCCGGAGGAGAGACCAGGGACGTGGTATCCAAGGGGGGGCGACGGGGGCGGTCGCCCCCCCCCCCCCCCTGGGCCCTGCCGGGCCCCAAAAGCGGGCCCGGCAGGGCCCGCTAGGCAGCAAGAAAGCGGGCCCGAAGGGCCCGCTTTGGGGCCTAGCCAGGAACAATTTGGGGTCGGCTGGGCCAAAAAGCGGAAGGGCATGTTCAGAAGGATTTGTTCGAATTTTTTGGTTCGCGGATGGGCCCCTGGGGCCCTGCCGGGCCACAAACAGGTCCGTAACTGGGCCTTTCGGCCCACTTTTGGGCAGAGCGAGGGCAATTTGGAGCCCGGCAGGGCCCCAAAAGCGGAAAGACCCGTTCAGAAGGATATGCTCGAGCCTTCGAGCTTGAGGAAGGGCCCCTATGGCCCTGCCGGACTCCAAACGGGTCCCTTATCGGGCCCAAAGGTACCGCTTTTGAGCTAATTGGCCCCGGAGAAGTTATGGTTAGCGGATCCGAAAAAAAATCCTATTCCGTGCCCAGTCACAGGGCCTGTCTGTGCCCTAGATGTGGAAGGGCCCGCTGAGAAGATCTTGCCCAGGCTTTCGGGTCCAAAAAGGGCCCATAGGGTCTTGCCGGTGCTCATATGGGTCCCTAGCCGGGCCCCACAAGCGGACCGGGCCAAGCCAATGACAACCGGGGGCCCGGGAGGTCTACAAAAGCGGAAGGGCCCGCTCAGAAAGCCTTGAAGCAGGCTTTTGAGCTTAAGTATTGGTCCCTCGGCCTCGACAACGTATCAAGAAAGCGAGCCCAGATATACACTTCCGTGCCCAGTCTCAGAAACAGCTTGTCCTGGCCGGGCCCCAGAAACGGAAGGGCCCGCTGAGAAGGCCCTGCCCAGGCCATGGGGCCCGAGGAACAGGCAACAGCCGATGATGGGACCCTTTCGACTGACCTCATGGGGCTGCTCCTGTTTACAGTTCTCCGAACAAAATGAGCTCCATAGTTGCGCCACGGATGGCGTTTGGGACAGGCGGTGGGGGAGGCGTTTGAAATGAACACCCTCTCTCTCTAACTCGGCTCCTGGGCCACGTAGCGACACGTAAGCGTACGTGGCATTCGGAAGAGCGTAAAAAATCATACCGAAAGTAACTCGGTCATTTTCTAGGTCAGGTCAAAGGTCAGGTCACCATAAGTCAGCAAAGGTCACATTTTGCCTATTTCAACATTGTTTGACAACTCCGGCGCATAACCCGGGTACAAACAGAGCTGCAGCGCCACAAAAAAAAAACGCATTCAATAGTTCTTTTAATGTTCTTTCCGTAAACTGTTCTCAGAATTGACCTGCGATTAACCCGCGCACCGACGGGGGTCCGCGCCAACTTAGAACCGACGGGGGGGGGGGGCGGATGACCCCCCGCCCCCTGAGATCTCAAGAACGAAGCAAGATAGCGACAAGCGGTAAACGGCATGGGGTACGCACGGACAAGGTCTACAATTTTTAATTAGGTCATTTCCAGATTAGGTCAAAGATGACGTCACAGGGGTAAAAAAAAGTCAAAATGGCGGCGCTAGATATGAAGAGTTTTTCTCGAATAACTTTCGAATTAGCCAAGCTAGGAACAAACTAAGGGCACCATCGTGATCCTCTCGTCAATCCGCATCGAATCATACTCCGTTATCTACTGTAGCTCTGACACGACGTGACAAAGTTGCAAAAAAGTGATTTGAGGTTGGGTCATTCGAAGTAACCTGGTGATCTGACCTTAAAAGTTAGGAGGTTCAAACTTGCACACCATGTGTAAAATTAATGAGAAAATAGTCATGCAAATTTCGCGGCGCGCTATTCACGATAACCTCAAGGGGGGGGGGCGGATAACAGCCCCCCGTCGGTGCTCGGGTTAACGGTTTAGCCTCTTGAGAGAAAAAACTTTTAAAATAGTCGTTTTATGAAACACTTTTTTTCTTTAACAATTTTCGACTCAGGAAAAGGCACGACATTTCTTTTGTCAGCATCGTGTTACTCTCGTCGAGACGCGTCGAATGAACTACATATAATTTGACCTTATCAGGTCATTTAGAAAATTTGAACTACCTGAAAGGTGACCTGACCTGAAAGGTCATGTTGCACATCCGTCAAACCGTATCGTCGATAAGGCCTGAACACATCTAATGTGTTTTCAACGCTCTAGCGTGTCTCTAACAAATGCTATTGTCAAAAGCTGTGGAGACGTTTCGTGACCTGAGATGACCCCATAGACATAAGGAGGGGTCACGGGTACAAATTTCCGATTTAGGTTGTCATTTTTTTATGTAACCAGGTGATTGAGGGTGCCTAGGATGACGTTTGCCTAAAAGAGGCACCTTTCGATTTTCTCCCATTTATAAAACCTAATGGAGAGGGCGCAAAAATTGACTTGACCTATTGTCACCACCGGTATGCAAATTTCGAGATAATCATTTTATACATACTGTTACTCTTATCAATCACTAAAAGTTTCAAGCCGATCGTTCAGTCGGTGTTGCTATGGCGAGCATTCTAACCTTTTCCGAGGTGAGGTCACTTGACGTGGTCTGGTGACCTGACCTTGAGCGACCTGGGTGTAAAATTTTCATATCTGTAGATAAGATTCATCCCTCTTTTTTATATCCACGCAAAACCGCAAGGAGGAGGTGTTCAAACAGCCCCCCCGGCCGGGCGCGGGTTAACGAACTTCAACGGAAGTGAACTGCAAAAACGAACTTCAACGGAAGCTAACTGCAAACATGTTATAATGGTCGAGAAACGCAAGACAATGCATTTTCATTTACAATGCCAAATTCTATCGTAAATTTGCTGTTTTTTTCGACATTCTCGAATTTTTACACGCCAGGATAGGCAGTCGCTGTGGGGCCCCTTTTGGCTGACCTCCGGGCCCTTCTCGGCTGTCGCCCCCCCCCCCCCTGAGCGAAATCCTGGATACGTGCCTGGGAGAGACTGCAGCTGTCGGTCCGGTGACTCACCCGTCCACCCGTCGCCGACGACAGAAACGGACGACGCGCCGCTGCACAGACATCCCCCGAGCACCCTGCACGGGGCAGTGTTGACGCAGCGAGCATAAACAGAGCAGGGACAACATTTCAAGGCTGCCACAGCAGCGGCGGACGGCATCCCGAGACCGCCGGCCACAGGGGTCACTGGAAACTTCTCGAGAAAAACCGTGGGATGTGGAAAGGCATAAAAAAACGGTGTCTATTTGCCTGCAGTATTAATGGATGCTTATTTTCCATTAATGAGTACCGCTTTATTTGTGTTTCTAAGAATGAGCGAACGAAATTCTCGAGTGGAAAAAAGTCGCGAGTCATCACAGCTAGAAGAGATCAAATCACTTTATCAGACTAACACGCTAAGCCCATTATGTGGTCTACAAAACCACTGGGACAACAATAACCGTCTAACCACAGGCGACAGACGCCGTGTGAGTTATCTCTGCCGGTTCTCGGCAGACGGTTCATAGTTCACGCACTCACAACTGGACCATAACTCGGACTGAGTCAGATGTTCTCCGGAGGGAGGGGGGGGGAGGGCGTCCTGCAGGCGCCGCCACTTCATCACAAAACAGACTGGAGCGAGCTACACGCAGGCTGCTGTCACCCGCAGCGCTACCCTCCGGTGAACCGCCTCAGAGCCGCCGCCAAACCACTCAAACCATCAAACCACAAACCACGGAAACCGTCCAAAGCTGACCACGGAGCCACCCGCAGAGCCACCGGCCGACCGCCGCACAGTGTGGCCGAACACCAGTTTAGCGCGAATTTAATCCCAGCGCTGCTCGGATCCACTGAAAATGGTTCTCTGGTTCCAAAACTGACACTTACCCCTCGCCGGACTTATTGGTTTTCAAAATACGCGCCGGCCGAAGGGGGGGGGGGGGGGTTGGTACGACCCCCGTCGCTGTTTCGCCCCTGATGGAGCTAGAGCCCCGCGGAAAAAAACGAGCGTGTGCGCCGTTACGAGACGCAGCGACTGGTATCCGATTTTAAGGTCTTAGGCCAACCAGTGACCTCTGAGGTCAGGTCAAATGACCCAGGCGCGGATTCATTTTTTATTAATAACTTCGCGAAAAAATGCCGCAGAGCCGCAATTTTGGTATCATCATGTTCGCCTCACTCAGGCGCGTCGAATGGTATACTTTTTGTTCGGCTGAAGTTAACTTAAGGTGTTGACCGTGGGTCAAGGTCAGGTCAGAGTCCTCCAGATCACGAAGTTGGTTGAAGGAGGTCATGTTGCATATCATTCGATTCAGCAAGTCTTCCTGAGTCCATTGGTAGCTTTCTCGACTCGCTAGCTCAATTTAATCGGGAGTTATTGACGAAAAACTCTTATTACCCTAGTGACGTCATAAATGACGTCACGTAAGACCAACAATGCATAGGTGAAGCATCGGACCTTGCAAGGAGTGCATGAAATCACGATTTCGTGTGCTTGAGATAGTTTATTAGGC